GTTCGAAAACAGTTGTTCTCATTTTAATAACATTATTTCAGTGCTTTGATAAGTTATTCTTTATAATAAATAAATAAATAAGTAAATTTTACAGTCAAATTATTGATTAAATTGTGTCCCATTTCCTTTAAGTATAAAATAATGGATAAGAGTCGTATCGTATTCATAAACATTTACATAACATTTAGAAAATCACAGAAGCGTATCGAAGTTACACCAAATAGTTACATTTGTAGAAGGCCAAACAGTTTAAGAATCTTAACGGGATTAACATATTAGTAAATTCGTATAATATGCTATTACATGAATAATTAATCATAAAAAGTAATTAGCTATAATCGCGGTAGTTGTCACAACACGCATACAAACATACATTAAACGTATTAACCTCGATGTATTGGCAATTTAGGCAAATGATTCTGAATGTAAAAGGATATTAATAGGTTTCTCTTCAACTCGAGAAGCACACCATTTCCATCAGAACATGATCATTTAAATAAACTATTAGTTACTACTAAAGAAAATGCTTTCGCCACTCTTACGTCATACAAGAATTACTTTTATCTTTTTCTATTCATTTACTCGGAGTAATAATACATAAAAAGAAGGCAAATAAAAATAAAAATTTTCTGTGTTTTTAAAACAATACATAAACTCGAAATCCATTTGGAAGCTCATTTTGATCAAGTACTAGATACTAAGTTTGGTATTTCAGATACAACAAGAGTAGTATGTCACTGCAGTGACATACAAGATTATTTTATCTGTAATTGTATATTTACCTTCGATTCGCCTTCAATCAGCTTCATATTATTGTTTTGCTCCGTGATGCACTCGTATAGACACTAACAATGTCGGACATATCGCGTTGACAAGAGAATACGACAGACGATATGACATGTAACCCTTCAAACTGAAGAAGCAACCGAGTGCAGTATTAATGTCTTAAAAAGACAATACTGTTTTTAACATTCGTATTGTTTTGATAAGATTTACAGGCGGAAGGATTTAAATGTAAATTTCCGATTGGGAAGTAAGCTATTATGTGTAATAGATCACTGAAGGCCGAAGTAAATTGATCGATTAAGGCCACTAAATGGTTTCTGGGCTAGTGTTTAGTTCTTAAGGATTAAGTTCTACTTCTGTTTTATTACTATTAGCTATTTCCTATAAAACTATTACTCCGTTTAAAATTTATAGATCATCTACTGTTATTTACAGCACACACACAACTCTTGTTTATCTAAAATAACAGATACACTATCCTCTAACGAGTTGCGCCGTGTTACTGTATGAACAAATTAGTTGTGTTATAAATGGGTAATAATGTATCACTAACACTACACCACCTACAGATTAATTTAGTGAACAAAAATAGGTACAGAAGCAATCATTAGGAAAACTAAACATTTGCCAATCAATTAAACATGGCCTCTCTTAATGCATTTTCGGTAATGTTTATTGCTCTGATTATTTCTAACTAATTAATTAACATCAGCTATATAAATACGCACAGACATACATCTGCTACAATGATTGATTATAATCTCATTAAAAATGCCCGTAACAATCTCAACAGATTAGGTTCAATTTGAGTGCGAACAGATACCGTTTTAGGTTTAATTAGATTAATCGAAATTACGCTAATATGGAGGAATACGTGTATAAGTTTTGGTTTATCCTTTCAATTAAATTTATAAATCAATTTGCAGCTATCAGATTTAATAAATTAAACATGGATGACGATAATAACGTGTATATATTGGTAAAAAGGTTTATTGAATGTGTTCGTTCTTTATTTCCTTTGACGAGGAGTCGAACCCGTAAAGATCTGTTGACGTCTTCAAATTAAGTCTCTAAATGGTGAAAAGAAATGATTAGAGATAAGAACCAATAGTAGAAAAGGTTTCTACACGAAATTTCGATCAGAAGATAATGGAATTTCCTCTTTTTATATATCTTAATTTATCAAGTCGCTACTCCTTTTTTTTTTTTTCTTTTTACTTTCCCTTCGCGGTCTTACGACATTTTATATATTTCCTGCTTTTAAATATCACATAACTCAATTTAAACTTATCGTGTTATCTTATTTACCTAGTGAAATCTTCTTTAAAACTGTAATTTATCTTTATCGTCCCTTGACTTCAGTTTCTGCCATAAGGGAGGTCAGAGAAGGATGATATACTTAAGGTTTTAAGGGTTTTTAAAATAGTAAAGGCTGATCAATCAATCAGTAAAACTACATATTGCTGGATAAAGGGGTGAACTTTTATCACGTGGTTGCTAATTTACAGTGAGGTACACACATTGTAGGGTCTTGAAGATCTCTCTAGTTGCACCACCCACTGAGCAAAAATAAGGGAGTTTCTATACGATAACTCGTCAGATAATTTTTTTTTTCTGGGGAGGTTGGCATTTTATTAATTGTTAGTATAAAAATACATAAGCCTTTATCTACGAGGCAAGAGTAGGATCATTTATACAAAAATTTAACATTTTTATCGCGTAGAATCTTTATAAATTGGGTTTAAAAGCCGGTATCGCTCCGTGAAATTCCCGTTTAAAAGGTTAAAGGAGGTGGTTTTAGTATGATAATGGAGTGCAAAGAGGTAGCGTGTCTGAAATTCGTTTCGAAAAATGTAAATATTAAAGGAGCTATTGTTATATATGCAGCCTATATTACAATTTAAAGTAGTTTTGGACATTTTTCTCCAAAGAAATAGGGTGTAAGGAACATCACGGACTTCAGAACAATAAAGGATTTAACATTATTTCTTTTATCCACTATAGCTATCGAAAATGTTCAAAAACCCGAGGCGATATTGTCATTCCGAAACAGACAATACACTGCAGAGATTCTTTGATTAATTTTCCTTTGAGGGCAAAATTTTATGTTATTTGCATAAACATCACATTACTCTCAGAGGGAAAAGCTGGGGAATTTTCCCCGGGCCTGAAGGAAACTTAGGGGCCTTAGTGTTTCATGCCTCTATGAATTAGTGTTAATTTTTATTAATAGAAGATAAAATTTTTAAGACTGCTTTTATTAATGAGGAAACATTCTACACATTTCATTTATTAAAAATAAGAAAAAAAAAGCAAAACGGGTCTGCTCTACTTTCGGACCCCACATAAGCCTTCAACGGCCATGATTATTCTTTATGCCACTTCCAAATTAACAAAAACACAGGATTCTCTCCTGATCGACGGGCTGGCACGTGGAATTTTCCGCGTTTTCTTCATGGGGCCGCCAGTTCGCCAATAAAAAGCCCTCCTTGATGAGGTCTCCCCTTGGCAGATGGCCCAAGGTTGCGCTGCCTTATTCCATCAATCCCACCTGTCAAAAACACTACCGAACACCCGATTGAGTATATTTGAATGAAAATTTCAGTGTTTATTTGTGTTAATTATGTGTGAAACAAACACATAACTTTTATCTCAGACAAAAACTAATAATATATTTTGGATAAACTTATTTGCAAATATTAGAATATGTGTTTATATTACCTATAATATGTAGTTGGTTGAGGGGTTAGTGAACATCCGTAACTTGTAAGTAGGCTATTATCATTAATATTTGCATAAGCAACTCGCATTTCAAATAAATTTCTCAACCCGTCTTCAGTATTTGCTGCTAACGGATTGCGCAATAAGAAAGGATAATACTGTATTTGCGAATTAATATTTATAAAAGTGAATTTTAATATCGAGTATTTATTTTAATCTATGGGCGAATGAATTCTGAATTTAAGTGGTGTATCCAAGCGTTGATAAAACCTACTTTATAATTTAAATTACTGAAAAGTATTTTTTCTGTACCGTCATCACTCTGCCATTATTAATTTGACGCGCTTTAACTATTCTGTGTTGCGATTTTTACTCTCTAATTGTTATTTTTTGGATTTATAATAGCAATTACATAAAAGATTTTCTACTTTATTCGAATTTTAATCCGGTTTTAATATTTATTGCTAAATAATATAAAAACAAATGAGGATTTGCATATTAATATAAAAATTATAATTCACTTTATTTTATTTAATACCCAAATATTAATATTAAAATTAGTAATATTAATTTATTATTAAATTAATAACAGACACTAAACATTTTCGGGAGCCGTCTACTTTTTGTTCTGAAAAAAGTATACAGGTTACACCGTTGACCGTCGCCATCTTTGATGTAGACGAAAAATGACTTTTTTTAATTATTAAAAAGTGAATAAAACACGATATTAGGGTCTAAATATTAGATTTAGTGCATTATTAGGAATTAAAACGGGATATATTGTATATTTATAAGATTTTCTTGAAATAAAATTGAAAAATCCTGATATTTACGAAAATGTTCATCGAAAAAAAAAATCGATTGATATTTAAAACATTATTCTGTCTATTGATACGAAGCATTTTAGATATCGTATATCAGATATTTCTGATTCAAAATGCAAATTTGTTATTGTAGAAATAGATTCAACAGTTTAGATCAATAAAAAGCGTTAGAATTCGAAGTACTATGAATTGGAATGTGAAGATTGCAGTCCCGCTTTGGTTGAGAGATTTCAACAATAATAAAGTAGAGAACGCCTTCCGATCATTAGTGATGTCGGTTCGACTGAGGTTGTAGTTACTATTTTTCGTCCCTTGAGAGAGTAATGATTGATTTAACGCATTGTCAATGGTGACGACACACCGCGACGCGATCTTCATCCATTTTTATCATTAACAATAAACAGCGCTTCTAAATCATTTCTATTTAATTATTATTTCTCTTAGTGTTACGTCGATGCATTAAGTTTATTAGTTACTTTAACTTAAAACATTCACAAGTTATTAAGAATAATGGATTTTGTTATCATTCCTCTCTCTTTGGTGCTTTATTTGATTAAACATGGCGGTATGGTTACCAATGAAAATATTCATATATGCGATATTTATAGCTTGTTGAATAATTAAATTTCTATTAAGTATATATATATTTTTTTTCTTTGTTTCTTTTAGTGTGTTCAATGCATCACATCTAAGGCAACGATGGAAACCCATCCGTGCGGACATAAAGTGCTTTGCAGGAAATGCCTAGTCCAAAGCATTCAAACAGCCCTGCTACAACGCAAACTACCATTAAGATGCCAAGTCTGTAGGGTCAAAATATTAAGGTTAAAAAATTCTGGACGAGCCAAAGGAGCTACACCCCGAACACCACTGAGACCTTTGGGTAGAAGTCATTCTGCACCCGCAGATACCCCGCTCTGTTCTCAAGCCAAATGTGTCCTTCATAGACACAAGGTCCCAAATGCAGAAGAGTCGTCAGCGTCTTCCAAACTTTCGCCCGACGGGCCACCATCATCGACTTCATCATGGGCTTCCATTACTCGCCGTCAAAGGCGCAGGCATCGAAGACGTCACAGCTATGTAAGGTCTGTTTCTACAGATCTATTCCCAATTCCCGAAAGAGAAGAACCTGATGTGGCAGAAACTCGTGGGACATATCTCCATTGAAAATAGTGAACAGAGTAAGTCAACGTGAATTAAGTTAACTAAAAAATTAAAAAAAAAAGAGAGAGGGGGGGGAAATATATATATACGCGATAACTTGGCTACGAGCGGCAACAAAATCACTAATTTAACCTAACCAGAAAACTCTAAATTAACCTAATAAGGAATTGGCTTACCTCATTCATTATCATCGGCGGCGGCAATTGGATATTTTTTTTTATATTTTTAGTTTTATGAAGCAAAACTCATAAAAACCATCCAATAAATCGTAAATTAAATTAAGTTTTAATATTTAAGATGCATTTTAAGTTGACTTTTACTAATATTTAAACATAATTTATATTCTCGAGCCGAGAAAGGTGTGAGTATTGTTTAAATGAAGAAAGAAAGAAAAAATTTAGCAATTTTAAATGATAAAGCTGAAAAATTTTTAAAATATATTTTTCTTTTTCATAAAACAAGTGAAAACATTATCGACTTTTCACTCGCCGTAATTACTCAGGGAGGAACCCAATTTGATTGGAAATTACGGCAATGATTGATGAAAGCCATTTTCCACAAGAAACGTCTCAGATAATATTTCTTTTCTAACTAAGTAAAGCAATTTTAACAAACGAATCTTACTCATAAGCAATTAAAATCTTTTGAACAATTCCGAAATTTATTGTTATTCGTATTTATTTTTTTTATTATAATTTAAAAATTTATATAAAATATTTTTGCTGGAAGGAAATTAAGCGAAGCTTAAGGATTTCCTGCATTTTTGAGTTAGCTCTTATTCGTTACATTGGGTTTCTGCAGTATAAAAAATCTATCACGTTATATTAAATCTGTGATAAAAATTTTAAATTAATAAATTCTTCATCATTTATCCCATAAATCAACAGGTGATGCAATATATAAAATATATAGGTTATATATATAAATTTTTACTTAAATTAAATAATTTAAAATATTGTATTTAATATATTTCCACATTTTTACTATTCTGGTAGCATCCCTTAGTAGTTTATGATCGGGTTTTTATCACATGAAGTAAAATATCGCGTTTTTTTTCCCTTTTCTGACTAACTAAAACGTCTTTCAAAGATTAACCTAAGTTTAATGGTTTGTGATGTTGCAAATTACACAAAGGAGTCATTAATTCAATTCCTTGGTGTCTGCTAGATCAATATCTAGTTGTGAAGTATTGAGCAATAAAGGTGCTTTGTTACCGCTTAAAACCTTAGCCTGTTAAATCAAGTTGACTTACTCTGTAGTGCCTCAGTTAAGCTTTAAATGTATTTTGTGCCTCTAATTCTAAGAGGTTGCCTCTAACTCTAACTCTCTCTATCTCTAACTATTGATCAAGAATAAGCACTCATCACAACATATCCACGGATTTAAACAGTTATATATTCTTCTATTCCACATTAATACACTTAAGTAGCTGTAAATTTTTTTTTGTTTGGCCTGGAGATAATTTAATGTGTTTTACTTTGGCAATTTCGTTTAGATTCCAAGATTTTCTAGTTTTTTTTTTTTTTCCTTCTTTTTCTTCTTCTAAGAGGGCACGTTGCTTAATAAAATTACTTTGTACCCATCTTACCTTCTGTGCATTTTTTTAAAAGAACATCCCCAGTTATATTACTACCAAGAAGATCAAATCTATAGCTTATGAATACACATACACTCACACATATATACATGTATGTACAGTATATTACCGAGTTTAAACGAGAAACAAGGTAATTTCCATTGAAATTACCGTAAGAATTGGATCATATTATTTAGGAATTCAATAATATTAAACAATAGTAATAATAATTCCTGAAGGTATCTATGGAGGAGTGAATTATTTCAGGGTACATACGTAAAAGATTTGCTCAAACAGTTAGTCATTTAAAATTATGGGGTCCAAATGGTACGAATAGTTGAATTTCTCCTTATGTTCTCGTCAAACATGTATTTAAAAAAAAACAAGTGAGGATATCATAGCAATAATTAGTACCTGAATAATTGATTTTTTGAATGGGTTCGGAGGAGTGCACACGCCGGAAAAAGTTGGAATTGTTGAGTTAAATAAGGATTATCAGAGAGTAAACAAAGGTTTACTTATACCTTATAAAAATCGAGATTATTTCTTATAAAGTAGATATTGTGTAAGTGGAGATTTAGTAATAATTATACATTAGGACAGTGGATTAAAAAAATTCTAAAAAAAAAATGTTAATTGTGTGCGTAATAGAATAGAAGATACAGTATTTTAGTGCCTAGAAAATCCGTAAATAATTTATTAATTCATTATAATAGTTTATAGACTAATAGGATAGCAAGAAAGAAAACAGAAATGGTCGTTGGAATAAGTAAAAATAAAGTTTAATTTGAAATTTTAAAATTTTCTGACGCTTAACGATTTTCACGCCTGATTGGTTATTTCAAGATGACGTATTTAATCTAAGCAGACGATAATTAAATAATTGAATTTAATTTAATTTTATCCCATTTACTAATTTTATTAATTATGGTAATTTTTAAGGAAATAATTTAATTTTATTTATGGATTTTGTTTGTTTACTACATTAAGAATATTTCCAAGTCGAACGATAATCAATAGCCCAAATATCGGTTGAAAAAAGTTAGGAATATAATTTTAGTACAGTTTTTACACAAATTATTTATAAAGAAATAAGAAAATGCCCAAGGAAAGTTTAGCAGTTGTTAAAGTTATCGTTTATACCAAAGTGTACTTAGAATTCTAGTTATTTAATCGTAAATTTTATCTTCCAATTCTGTGTAACTGGCTTAAATTATGACGTAAACATCATATATATTTTTTAAAAAATCTGGAGAGAGTAATTAATACATAAAAATTCATTCTATTTATTAATACATCACGCATAATATTTCTAACATTTCGAAAGTATTATTTAATTGTAAATATTTCAAATTGACCAATCACGATTAGAAAAAAAAAAAAATTCGTTATTTTTCTTCTTGAGAAATCACGTGACTGCATTTCTTTTATGCAATTCCGTCGTCGAGAAGAGACTGTTATTGATTTTATTTTCCAATATGAAAATAAATTTAATAAACTGCATTTAGTATAAAATGAAAATCAGTATTAAACCAATCGATTCGTTAATTGTGCCAAATGTTAGATTGTCTTCCCGTAATGTTTACGTATTTAAAACTTTTAAATTTTGTTACAATTTTAAAATATTAATTAATAATTAATTAAGATTAATGACAATAATATATTACTTTAAAAATTTTTGTATTTAATTCCTGTTCGTTTTTGATATTTTAAAAATAAACCAATCAGAAAAATATTTATTCATTAATGCGGATTAGTAATGACGTTACAGAATTCGAATATTTGAAATTTTGTTACGTATTATCGATCGTAACAACGATAACAAAAATTCAAAACATTTAAAATTAATTTTATTCATAATCGGTGAAAACTTTTATTGCTTATTGAATAAAACGAATCAATATAAAGAATAAATAAAGTTTTTTTTTTTTAGAAAATAATACATTAAAAATATGAATAAAATAACCACGTGACTAAATTTAAATATTTGAAATTTAAAATATTCTATTCTGATTGGTTGATGCAATTATCATGGCTTTTTCATCATCGTCCAGGCTTTTTCTTTTTTTTTTTTTTTTTTTTTTAAAAAAAGCAAGACTTTTATAAAAAGAATACATACAAAAATCCATTCATTGTAAACTTTACTATGAATACATTCTTTTGTAATTTTTTAAAAATATTTTTTCAAATTTAATGAATGAACTTTTTACATGAGCCATTATACAACTTATACTTTTAAGCAATTTATTTTTATATACAACTCAATTTTTTTAAATTCATCTTTATATACATAACATTTTAAATTTAATTTAAAATAATAAATTATTCAAATATATATATTCGAATAATTTTAAAATGTAGTTCCTAAGATTGTGTACACACGATAACATCCGTCCATTTTTGATTATATAATGCGAATGTGTTATGCCACACACCATTAAGGTTAGGTTGCAGTTAACGAGATCTCTTTTAAGTTGTTAGTTAAAAGATGAGGCTCGTAATAACAAACAGAACGTACTCATTGTTAAAGACATTTAAAGGAGAAAGTGTATTTTAGAATCATGTCCATAATTCGGTCACCTGCTGTCTAGTCAAGCTAGTGAAAATAGGCCGGAAATATGAGTCATGACATATTGTAGGCACAGCTGTTGCATTCCTTATCATCTCGACAGACCAGGTGCAGAAGATCGCGCTGGGATGCTATCGTTTGCCATGATTGTCGCTGGAAGATCTTACAGAGATGCTATCATCATTTATTGTGGTGAAATTACTAATCTCTTAATTCAACGTTCATTATTAAAGATGATAAATGTTGCTCTAGATGAAGAGATATAACATTTTTTTTTTTAATTAAACGAAATTACTCCTCTAATTAAGATAAACAGTTATAGCTAGGAGATTAGGCAGTGCTTTTTCTTAATTATCTAAGGTTTATTGCTTACGAACATGCAGAGATTTGAGCTTTAATCAGAATTTTTTTTTTTATGAAAGAGGGAGGAAAAAACAGATTCAACTTACATGACTCTACTCAACAGGTACTTATCTGGCTGGAAGTAATGACACCACCACAATAACCTATCATGTCGCGTACATATATTTAAATTCAGAATGTAAACTAAACAACAAAAGTATAGAAGTAATAAAATGTAGAATAAATGAATTTTTTTAAACGAATATATTTACATTATTATTATTATTATAATTGTGGGAATTCGATAAAAACACGAATACTATTGTTCGTATAGAAGGTGAATAACCTTTATATCAAATTACTATAAAAGTTGTGACTGTGGAATTTCTTACACACAACTCTATTATGACTCATCCCCACACCTGCAAGAGGAGAGAGAGTGCTGAATGGAAGTTGAGTGGCCTTGAGAAGAGGTCACTGTCTATGACGAGTTTATAGATCCCGTTAAAAATACAATACAAATTAATCGTTCACATTGCATAGATTTTTCATCGTTTACACGGATAATCTTAATTTTCTAACCCGTTCTACTTTACTAGGAAGTGTAAATTATCGAATAATTATAGGTTAAACGCCGAGAGTTAATGGGAAAATTATGGTTTTTCCATTAACTTTTCTGTTTATGTAGTGTAGTAGGTGTAACGCCATGTTAGTATACGTGTGTTGCTAACATAATGGACTTTTTGTTCCCAGTTAGGTGGAAATGGTTGCGTTCTGCTCTACTTCAACCGCGAATAATTCACNGGGGAAAAAGCAGCAGATAAAATTACAGATAGGTTTAGGGAAAAATTTACCCAATTTCATAATGGATAGGAAATATTTGTGCTATTATAGGGAATATAGGGAATATTCTAATTTCCGTGATACTTAGGAAAGAGTCAGTAGCATTTTTAAATATTATTTAGCTTAATTTATATTTAATATATAAATATTTCCCGAATAAAATTCTGGGAACAAGAAAAATATTCTGATAAAGAAATAACATTCCTGTAATAAAATTACTTTGAAATATTTATAAATAAAATTTTGTAATTTACAGAAAGATTTTTGAAATATTTTCCCTGAAATATTTTCAGGGAAAATTGTATGAAGAAATATAAAAATATGCATGCAACACTTAGGGAATATTCCTGTGAAAATTGATAAATACTTTACCGAGAAGAAAATTGTTTAGAAAAATAATTTATAAAATAAATCAATTTTTGAAATTAAAAAAAATAATAAAAATAATAATTAATTATCAAGAAAATAAGGAAAAATTCTTTTCAATCCGATAACAAAATGGCGGAATATCGATTTTATGTTTCCGTCATTTTAAAAAACTAAAATAAAATTTAAAAAAATTGTGGATATTTGAATCTTTAAATTGGAAAAATATATAAGAGATGGATTCAATTTACAATAAATAAATAAATAATAAATGCTTTTATTATTATTTCCCCTATCTCATATATCTAATACAATATAAAATTTAATTATTTGAATTACAGTTTTATTAAAAATTGGTTTAAAATATATTTATTTGTCAACATTTTTACTTTTCCTGGTGTTATATATAACAGAGGGCAAGTATGGCGATGGGTCAAAACATGACCCCTTCGAAGAATTTTATATTTTTATACCCAGAAATGCAAAAAATTGGGTTTTTTCTGTGTGTTCATACAGGGGAGATTTCTGTATGTACTGTACATACAGAAATCTCCCCTGTATGAATGTATAGTACAAGCACACATGCACACTTGTGTGTATGTGTATGAGACGGACACGTTTTTGTACACATATTTTGAAGGTTAATAACTCTCGTGCCTTTTGTCGAAAATTTCTGAAATTTTTCAGGGCGGTTTCTTTATTAGGGAGATCGATACTGTTAGATTTTGATGCTTAAATATTGAGAAAGTGGGGCGATAGGGGTCACGTGTTATATCTCGAGTGGGGTCGGACTTAATGAAGATTTTATTCGTTATTAGCATTTACAATTCTTTTATTATTATTATAAAACTCATTCCTAACCACAAAATTAAGCATTTTGTTAATTTATAATAATTAAAAATATAAAAAGTTTTAAAATAAAATATCGTAACAGATGGCGCCACACAATTTAAAATTTTTCGCCGGGAAAGTCACTATAAGTTATTGCTGGATTTTTACATTAAGTTCACTGTATAGTACCTGTACATGATCTATGAAGTATTAGTAATTAATGCATTGTTTAATTAAAACTATCTTTCTATTATGGAGTATGTATAATATATTTTATATATGTATTTTAAGACTTTAATTATAATTAAGTATAGCATTAATTTAAAAAAAAAACACCTCTTGTTTATTATCTTTAGAAGTGTGACGAAATGTTATTTTTAAGCTACTGTTTTTAAAGTCTACAAAAACATTTATTTTATATCTAAAAATATAACTTTAACTAATGATAAGTCAATGCCTTGATTTTTAAGCTGAGAACTTTTAAAACTCTATCAAAAATCTAATT